ATAACCATAATAAATATCTATGCACCCAATGAAAGAGCCACAAAACACAGAATTCAGACTTTAACAAATTTGAAAAAACAAATAGATGACTCCACAGTCATAGGAGACTTTAATACACCACTTTCAATGAAAGATAGAACAACTGGAAAGAAACTCAACAAAGATGCAGAAGAACTAAACAATACAAGTCACTAACTTGACCTTATAGACATCTACAAAGCACTTCACTCCAACAACAGCACAGTATACATTCTTTGCCAGCATACGTGGAACATTCTCCAGGATAGACCATATCAGGCCACAAACCAAGCCTTAATAAATTTAATACTGCAAAGCAACTTCTCAGATCACAATGTTATCAAATTAGAAATCAACAATAGGAAGGTGAATGGAAAAAGAGTAAACACATGGAAACTGAATAACACTGTCCTAGAAAATGACCGAGTAATAGAAGAAATAAAAAATTAAAAATGAAAAGAAATTCCTGGAATCAAATGAGAATGAAAACACAACATACCAAATTCTTTGGGACATGGCAAAAGCAGTGATCATAGGCCAATTTATAGCAATAAATGCACACATCAAAAAAGATGAAAAAGCCAAAATCAACACCTTAACTCAACATCTCCAACAATTAGAGAAAGAGCAGCAAAAAAAAAAAAAAGCCTACAGTCATCAGAATAATAAAGGTTCAAGCAGAAATAAATGAAACATAAAATAGAAAGACAATAGGGAAAAAAATCACTAGAAGTTGGTTTTTTTGAAAAGATTAATAAAATTGACAGACCACTGGCAGTTTTAATAAAGGAAAAGTGGGACAGAATATAAATAACATGAATAAGAAACAAATTGGGTGACATCACAACAGAACCAACAGAAATTAAAGAGATACTATGAAGAGCTATCCTCCAACAAATCTGAAAATCTACAAGAAATGGAGAGTTGGTGTTTCTAGAAACATACTACTTACCTAAACTAGCACACACTGAGGTGGAAAATTTTAATAGACTCATAAAAAAAAGAAGAAGAAATTAACAGGTCATAAAAAAAATTACCAACAAAGAAAAACCCTGACCCAGGTGGTTTCACTGAAGAATTCCAAACATTCAGAGAACTGACACTAATCCTACTTAAACTATTCCAAAACATAGAAAAGGATAGAATCCTCCCAAATTCATTTTGTGAAACAAGTATAACCTTGATACCAAAACCAGGCAAAGACATCACTCAAAAGGAAAACTACAGAACCAATATCCCTCATGAATATAAATGCAAAAATCTTCAACAAAATCCTAGCCAATAGACTCCAACAACATATCCAAAAAATACATTATGACCAAGTGGGATTCATACCAAGTATGCAAGGAT